TTAAAAGATATCTCTTTCAGAGTCACTCTCACCTAAAGTATATCACTATCAATTTTTCCTCCAATTTCTCCAATAAAAGATATTACAGTATATCACAAACGTCTACGCCCTTTTCTTCGTCCCACATATTTTGTGTAATCCAATTGCATAGAAAACACATTGCTCAGAAAATCATGGACAATGGTGGTAGAGAGAATGTTTGGATTGAAAAAATTTCATAATCATCTGTCGAAAGAATTATTTTTTTGTCAATATCCCATAGTTATGTTGCACCAAAATCATATGCCAGCCATCACCCTCATTCTAATTATCAACAAGTTGCGTCTGGAAAAAAAAAAGAATAAAGGCTTTTTGAAAAAAGCACGTCAGAGATCAATCTGTGAAGAAAAATTGATCTTTTGTCTTTCTCACCCATGATGTTCTTTTTCTTCATCATTTTTTCCTTTTATTTTTTCTAGTAAATTCAATCAATTGTTAAAAAGTTGACATTTTTGAATTTATTTCTGAGAGGTTTCTGTGATTCAATATTTTTATTTGAAAGTGATAATGTTGAATCATATGGTATCAAGGATTGAAGGCAAAATACCAAAATGTTTATGTATGAATTTGCTATAACATATATAGATATTTTTTATACGCTTACAATATATCAAGAAAAATCAAATATTAGTGTAATATTCCTATACATTTAGTATAATATAATTTGGTAGGGCTAAATTTTAGGGATTTACATATTTTTAAGAAATAATTGGTTGTAGTCAATTCAGTTAGGTATAACTTTAAGAAATGACGAGGATCTTATTAAATTTGCTAAAATTTTGGGATTCTTATTAAATGGCTTTCTTAGAGAGAGGATATTTTTATGCTGAATAATTATTAATTTTATGAAATATTATACAAATCGTGAATTAAATAATAGTTATAGATAATGTAATATACTCTAATAGAAGATGTAGTTACGAGTGCATATCCAATTAGGCGGCCCAACTTGTTTCGCCTTCCGGTCCATCAATCAAAGCGCTCTGCCATTTATGTCCATAAGTCATAGAAGGGAAGTTTCATAATATATGCATTTATAAGACTTACTTTCATGATATACAATCTACGATAGGTTTGCCAACTGAATTATACAGTTAACACTTTCAAATTATAGAGAACAATATTATCATATAGTGATCTTGTTATCTTTTGGATTAAAAAGATTGAACATTATGAGTTATGTGAAGAGACAAAGCTCTGGATTAAATTGAATTAGCTAATATCTAATCATGTCTAATAAGTCCAAAGTGAATATGTCCAAAATAAATCATTTGAAAAAGCGATGAATGTGACAAAAAAGATCTAGTATATTAGTCTAAATACCTCCAAAATGATAAGCTTCCAAACTTCCCACACCCCACCACCCATCCCGGGGAAAAAGTAAAATTAATTATTTAATAAACACACACAAGGCATCTGTGATCTGTTCATTAATTGTCCTTTGTTAGGATAATTACAAAGGTATTTATTTATTTTTTTGTTTAAACTCCTTCGCTTCGTCCCCTCCACCGAAACAGCAAGAACCGTACAAGAACGAGTCAATTGAATAAGCGCAACTGGAAACAATCAGTCTGACTTGCTCCATTAGTAGGTCTAGTCTATATGGAACTCGTCTATTGCTTTTAGGAAACAATAAAAAAAAAGAAGTCTATTGGTTGGCTGTATTCCTCACCTGTCAACTCGCAAACAAGCATTCGTTGTCTTTTGTCACTCAAGTTAGCTATCCATACTGTAACCGTAGTATGGCTTTTCCACATAAAGAGGGAAGGAAGTGCTTGCTGCCAACTTGCCAGATGAGCGGACATCTGAGCTCAGCAGCGCATTTACTATTTGGAGATGGAATAATGTGACATTTTACTCATGAAAAATATTGAATGGTCAGAATCAGTATTTGCTAATCATTCCTGTTGTGAAATAATGTATGACAAAATGATTATAAAATTATAAAAATATAAGAGATATTCAAAATAATGAAGTGATAGTGATGCTCGCAGTATTAAAGTGAAAAATGAGATTTTACATCTAATTTTAAATTTAGATGTCACTAGGTCACAAGGTAATTACTCCTCTAACTTATTCTGTTAGGTAGAGTCAGCTAATATATTATGCGACTACATATTATTACTGAGCAGCTAATTGTCATAAAAACGTTTCGTGGTGTAGTTGGTTATCACGTCAGTCTAACACACTGAAGGTCTCCGGTTCGACTCCGGGCGAAGCCAAATGCTGTAGTTCTTTTTTTAGCAACTTTTCTCCTCCACATTCCAACTGGTGCTTTTTTGATTCAGCGGAGGAAAAAGATAGAGACGGGTCTGTTCTCTCAGGTTATAAAAGTACTAGATAAGACTTAGGGCCCGATTGGCCGTACAAAAAAGATTCTTTCTTTTTTTATTTTTTTATTTTTTTACTTTTTTCGAAATCAGCGCCATGAAATTTTCAATTTTCACTTGAATATTTTCGAAAATTTTGAAAAACTCCAAAAAGTTATTTTAAATTTTTTTACTTCAGGTCACTCACGAAAATTCGAAAACAACCCAAGATTATATTTATATCGAAACTCTAAATACCATTTTCACTTCAAAAAGAATTTTCCTTTTTTGCAAAATTGTATAATTCTTACATCCAAACGCCACTTAATAAAAAATTCATTGAATTTGTATAAAAACCCGACTCTGCTTAGCAATGAACTGTTTTGTCTTCTTGTTACTGAGTTGTGTCCTAAGACGGAGCTAGCCTATTAGGTGCGAATTCTATCGAACCGGTCAAAACCCATTCTTGAGCTTTTCTCCATTGTTTAGTAGTTTGATGTGATGACCACAATTGAGACCAATATGGACTTATGATGCTCACCTTAAATTACCCGAACCTTAGGTTAACTTATATTCTACAACAAATTTGAAAAATAACCTCTCCGTCTTTATAGGGTAGGAGTAAGGCTGTGCACACACTACTCTCCCCTGATCCAATATATGGTTAAAATATCATGGTATAGCCAGTTTTCACACTGGTCAATGAAAAATAGCCAGCGTTTATCAAGTCAATGAAAAATAGCCACTATTTTGCTGCAACAGGGACCGGTCCAGTATAATATACGGGAGTTCTGGTGCATTTGTGTACGAACTCCAGCATATTATGCTGGACCGGTATACTTTGCTAACTCCTGTAAAATTTGCGGGAGACTGGAGCACCAGTGCTCCAAACTCCAGTATATTATACTGGACAATTGTACTTGCTGGAACTCCCGTAAAATTTGCGGGAGTTCCAACATATTTATCCTGGAACTCCCGTAAAATTTACGGGAGTTCAAGCATACTTATACTGGAACTCCCATAAAATTTGCGGGCGTATTTTTCCGGATTTTGAACAGTATTTTCGCTCAGTTTTAAAGTGGCTAAATTTCGATGACTTTTGAAACTTGGCTATTTTTCAACGACCAGTGGTAAATCTGGCTATTTTTGAATTTCTCCCAATATATGAGATTAAGCTGGGTTTGTTATTGTTGTCGTTGTAAATCTGAAAAATAAAATAGAGGCATGGAGTGGATAATGCTTAAGGAATTTTTAAAAATGATTAGGTACTTGCCCAACTACTTTACTATGGTATACGTATGTGGTACGCTTCAAAATACCCAATTTGAGATTTTTTTTTTTTAATAATATACTTGGTGGAATCATATTAAAAATTTCCAAATATTTCAAAATAAAAACAGAGTATCATGTAAATCTGCCCAAGAAAAATACTACTGCTTATGCAATTTTTAATATTAGTCGGCATTAAATTTTAATCATATCACTTTTGGCAATGTTTGATAGGAATCTTTCATCGTATTAGAGTTTTATATATCAAAAGAAAATGTAAGGAAATAATTTCTAATAATAGAAAAACTAATTTTTTTTTTTATCATACTACTATTTTTTAAAGAATTTAAATTTACAGTAAATAATATTTTGAAAAATAATTATTAAAAATAAAAAATATATATATAATAAAATAAAAATATTTTAAATGTAAAAAAACAATGTTAAAAAATTCCCAACATATCTAATAATTATTTAACTCGTAAATTATTAAATATTTTATAAAAAGTAACATAAAATATATTAACATTAGGTAAACAACAACCAACTACCCCACGAAATCATTTTATATGAGGTAAAATACATAATATTAGTAATATATATATATATATATATATATATATATATATATATATATATAAGGGTGGATTCAAAGCTTTATATTTGTTGTTGCTATTGCAGTTATATAACCGCATGTTTGGATGGTTGTTACATGCATTGTATCGTATTGTTATTTTACATACAATATTTGTTTTGATTGTTACATAAATTTTATTGTATTGTATTGTTAAATCTGTCGTTAAGTAATGATTAAAAATGCCACTTTGTGGAACAATGGATTTGGTGTGGTCGCGTCATTACCTTATTTTTTTTCCTCATCTTACCCTTCCTTATGTATTAAATAATCCAATTTTATCATTTACTCTACATTTTTTGTATAACAATTATACCTTGTATTTTACTTTTTCTTTATAATATTACAAGTTTACCTTTCATATTATCCGTGCATGACATCATGAAATGATGACATCATGGAATGCTGACAAACATATATTATATACGTCAAAATAATACAATATAATAATGCTCTACGATATATTATGAATGATAATTAACAACCACCCAAACAAGCTATAAGCATTGTGAATTCCCTTTTTTTTTTTTTTTGTTCTGGGGAGAATTTTCAGCTTTCCACCCTCTAAAAATGCAAAATTAAAAAAACTTTTATAAAGACAACTAACCACCATAACGTCTTTTTCCCTCACAAAAGGACAAATGAAATGTCAAAAATATAAATCAAAATTAACCACAATCGAAAAAGAAGTGGGGCTATTTTTGTAATTATAAATTAGTGGAAGAGCTACCATTGGAATTCTGATAACGTACCCTTCAAGTGAAGAAAGCATCAGCTGTGTTAGTTGCATTTAACATGCCCCACACTCATGACTTCCCCTCTCAATTATTTTATTATTCCCTTTTTATCCCTCATTCTTCCCCTAAATAACATTCCTTGCCACTCAAATTTCCTCTCTTCGATCATCTTCAGTTCATCCCCTTAGATTTTCTCTCTCCAATTTTTAAGCTGTCTGTACAAAATAGAGCAGATTTTGTTTTGTATTTTTTTTTTGTAATTTATTTTGGCAATGAATGGAAGTTTTAGGGCAGAGGAAACGGCAATGAGGCAGTTACAACAGCAAATGGGGAGTTTTAGGAATTCAGTAATGAAGGAGAAGGAAGAGGAATTAGCTTTGTTTCTCGAAATGCGAAGAAGGGAAAATGATAGAAACGATCTTCTTCTTTTTCAAAACGGCGACGAATTTGATGCTCAGCTTGGTGAGATTTTTTTTTTTTTTTCATTTTTCCTTTTTATTACTTCCTCTGTCTCAATTTATGTGATAATTATTTTGACAAAAAAAAAATAATTAAAACTTGTGGTTTATAATAAAAATTATTTTTAAATACAAAATTTATATGTCCTTGTTTCTGGGACACGCTAAAAAGGGAAAGAGTGTTACGTAAAATGGAACAATATTATTATATCTGTTTGAGATTATGGTTCAATATCATGGTGGATTTGCCTTTTCTTCGCTAATTTTATTATTTATGTTAATTAGAAACTGCTGATATATTTAGGTACTGTAGAGGCTTAACAATAGTATAGTATGTAAAACTTGCAGTGAATTTGGGCTTTCTATTAAATACTGCTTCATAAGCTAAGCTCATAAGTGTTACTTTTTGCAATATTTTGTTTCTTATAGGATCAAATGGAGGCGGTTCACCTTTATTTAATATTGGATCAGCCACAACTGTTAGGAAGAATGGTGCTGATGATTTCCTCAATGCTGAGAATGATAAAAATGACTATGAATGGTAATTTCTTTAAATTTTTCATGCTTCTCAAGCATGTTCTGATGGTGATTCTGCTTATTCGCTTAATTATAATTTTTAGCTGGTTCGGTTATGTTGTCATAAGTTTCTCTATCGAGTGAAATGTCTGGATCATGTCACCTACATTATGTCTTCATGTTCAAAACTTCAGTTTTTATTGTTCCCTTTTTGGATCATCTGGTAATAGCTTTTGCAACATGCACAGTTTTGCTCAAATTTTCTTCAGTAGATAGGATTACTGATTTTTGAGCAGACATAATGCCTCAACATCAATAGCACCCTTTGTAGTAGTGTAGTACATAATACAAGAAACTTTGAAAATGAGGGGGCAAAAAGAGGTGGATGAGCAATTATAATATTATATGTATTGAGGAGTGAGGGTGCTATTGGTGAGGCTTTCCATCTCGAACCATTAGTTGGTGATTCACGTTCCTAAAGGAGGAGCTCAGCTAAGTTAGACTAAGGAAAACCCAGCGAGCGGGAGAGAAATCTAACTGCTTCAAATTAGCAATTCTTATGCTATTACAAAGTGTACTAATAACGAACATCTGCGTATTAACACGTAACTAACAAGCTAACTGACAATTAAATAAACTTACTATCTTAAGCATCAAGTCCTACTATTAACATCACAGCCTCCAGTCAACGCCACAGCTCAGCAGTTTAGTTATTCCTCTGTACTTGCATCCTTCAGAGGTAAGATGCCAAACTATCGGGACAGAAGGCGCATTCAATAATCAATGTTCATAGAAACATCATGAATAGCTTGACAACATGTACAGCGTATAAAGTCTTAGTTATATTTCGAAGTTTAACTAATAAAACTAATGAATTCCATGCATCAAAATATTGCTGCAAACAAGTAAACGAGTAGGTGTTGTTAACCCACTTCCTAAAAGGCTCAAAAGTAGAAGATAAAAGGTTCTTCCAGACCTCTGATATTGGATGATCTTTTGCCAGACTTATACAATCATTCATTATCAAAAGAATTTTCGGTTATGTCTTTTCTCTAATGTTTAATTCTCTATTCTGAGATGATATTTTTGTGTTTCAGGCTTCTAACACCTCCCAGTACTCCTCTTTTTCCTTCACTTGAGATGGAGTCGGAAAAATCAATGATGAGTCAGTTGGGAACAGCTAAAGCTCGTCCAACTGCAATTAAATCTAGAGTAAGAATATACTAAACTTTTCTTACCCCATGATTTGCTGAAATAATTCATTTTCTGTAATTAGGATGAGTATTTAATATGATATATACTTAATGCATGAAATTTATCGTAATGACTTCAAACTTATTTCGCTTCACGTCCAGCCAGTAGAGGGGATGTAGAGATGTGCAAGAAGCATAATAAAAGGGAAATTTCTATAATTAGGTAGAAAGGACCTTGCAGGCCTTTTAGTTCAAAAAACACGTGGGGGCTCCATTATTTAGTCAAATGCTATTAGCAACGAAATCATCTATATTGATATTTCACAATTGTCTTTACTCTCGAGTTCTGAAAGCAATATATGATTGTACTCATTTGCATTTTCTTACAGAAGTTCCTTGTGAGCATGTGGAATTACCATTGCTCAATCTCTCAAAAATATCACCACCTTTTGCAGATGTACTAAATTCTAGTGCGTGCATAGTTGTTGGTCAGTAAGTCCTGGTCACTCTTTAATCACAAATTGCGAATTCTCCCACGTAAAAATTAGGAATTTCAGATGGAATGTCAGAACCTCCGGCTAGGCAGTCTTAACTTGAGTTTGTTGGGAACCATGGACTGATTTGCGGTGCAACTTGTTGTTGTGGATGCAGTTAGCAAATCCCCAGCCTGAGCCCTCTGGTAGAAGCATTTTAGCATCTAGACAGCCTGCTTCCACTCATGGATTAAATACTTCAAGTTCAGGTCTTCGAAGACCATCTTCGTCAGGTGGATCAAGACCTTCAACTCCAACTGGACGACCCACATTAAGCACGATAGCTGCTTTGACATCAGCATCTAGACGCACATCTACTGCAGCAGCATCAAAAGCAATGACATCCACTGCAACCTCTAGAATAATGTCTACCACAACCGCGTCTCGGCCATCAAGGTCTTCAACCCCAACTTCTCGTGCCACCTTGCCTTCTGCTAAATCCACGGTTCCTCCACGATCTTCAACACCTACAGCCAGGTCTAGTGCAAGGTCCTCAGCGCCAACAACCAGAGCCTCCTCAACGCCCACGGCCAGGGCCTCTGTTCCTGGATCAAAGTCCACATCGAGGGCGGCAACTCCAACTCGGCGACCTACTTCAGTGTTAAGTACAGCTAATGCTACTGCTCCTCCTGTTAAATCTCCGTCTTCAGTTTCCACAGCTACCACTACGGCAAGAAATCCTGGAGTTGCACGTGCTAGTTCTCCAACTGTAAAACCCAGACCATGGAAGCCTTCAGATATTCCAGGGTTCTCCCTTGATGCTCCACCCAATTTACGGACATCACTATCTGACAGGCCAATTTCAGCTACAAGGGGTAGACCCGGAGCACCAAATGTTAGATCTTCATCCATTGATCCAGTTACAAATGGAAGGATTAGACGACAATCTTGCTCTCCAGCGAGAGGACGTCCTCCTAATGGTGTTGTGCGTAGCAGTGGAAGCTCTGTTCCAATCCCAGCTATGAGTCGATTACATGCTAAAGCTAATGATAATGTAAGCCCTGGTATGATTGGAACTAAGATGGTTGAAAGGGTAGTAAATATGCGGAAGCTGGCTCCTCCTGCAAAGCAGGATAACAAATATTCTCCCCGTAGTAACTTATCTGCAAACTCTTCATCACCTGACAGCTCAGGTTTTGGAAGGACATTGTCAAAGAAATCCTTGGATATGGCTATGAGGCATATGGTATGTCTTTTCATTTCATTCTGCTTTTGCAAAAAGATAGGACACTTAATTCACTTGGATAAGCTAGATGATGGTCATGAATGTTATCTACACAGCATCTCTAGAAATTGTCATTTCTGTATTAATGCAACATAGTGCTCTTCAGATTGAAGACTTCTTTTTTGAGATAAGTTTCTGTAGTTTGAAAGCATCTATCGCCTTCTTAAACTTTTTAAATATGCTCTTGGTTTTTCCAGAGCTCTAAGAAGCTCCCCACCTCGTCAGCCTTCTTGTTCTCTTTATACTTCATGGTTTTGCTTAATTGACGACATTCCTCTCTAACAGGATATAAGGCGAAGCATCCCAGGTAATCTGCGTCCATCAATGACTAATATTCCAGCATCCTCTATGTACAGTGTGAGATCAGGACCTAACAGAAGCAGGACAGTGAGTGTATCCGACTCCCCACTTCATACGAGCAGTAATGCTAGTTCTGAAGTGAGTCTCAATAACAATGCGGTGTGTGTTGATGGGAGTGAAGTTGATGACGCTATTAGCAGCGATAAAGGTGTTCGGTCTCCTGCCAGTATGCATGGAAGGTGATGATTGCCCTTCCCTGATGTGGGATAAAAGAAATTATAGTTTCGATTGAGTGCCAGATTGAGGGTTTTGGTACCTGAATTATGATTGTTTCCTGGGAAGGACTGAGGCATATGGTTCACTCATTATGTAAAGATTGATGCACGGTTAGTTAGCTTATATTATTTGAAGCCAGCCTTTATCTCATTAGTTGTGTTGTGCTTGAACCAATTTTCTGCGTTATTTTCGTTCCACTTTCAAGTTCTTAATTTGTGGGGGACACGATTAAGGGGTTGTTTGGTAGGATGCATTAGCTTTTGGTATTACTAATTCCTTATTTGGTACACTTTTTCAACCTATGTATTACTAATGCAAGTATTAGTTATACAACCTATTTGGTATTATCCTGTGTATAACTAATACATAGCAATACCAAGGCTATAATGCATGCATTAGCATGGTTAAAGACAAAATTGTCCTTAAAGTCCCCTAAAGCTAAAGAGTATGGAGGGTATTTTGGAATCAACTAATTTTCTTAAAAATTATGCAATGCATTTTAATTTTTAATAAAAGAATTACAAGAAAATACACGTGACTTCACACCATAACAAAAAATGGCCCAGGTTTTTAAGTTTTACCCGACCTAGCCCATATTGTACATATTTTGAAAGCACTAGCAAATTCAAAATCTGTGTTCTTACAACCATTGCTTCTAAAAGCTATGGAGTTAGAGATCTGTGTTCTCACAACCATTTCTTTCACTCTCTCTTCTTCTCACCTCTCCTACATATGCTTCAAGGGGCCGTGTATTTTCTGCTTCTCCCCCTGTGTCACCCGGTTGCAATGTAAGAAAATTGAAGAGTAGAAGTCCACTATCGAAAGCCATTCAAAGCTTTGCTTTCGAAAATAGGATTTTTTTGAGTTTGTTAGTTGTTTGGATTGAGTGTTGTTCCAATTGATTGAAAATATCAAAAGGAGTTCAAAATTTAAATTTGAAGTGATTTGGAGTAGATTTGAGCAAGATTTGAGTTAAATTTTAGAAAAGACGCAAGGAAGAAGACGAAGTCAGTTTTTTGTATAATCATGTATAATCTTGTATAATAGTGTATATGAGTGTATAAACACATTTTATACACCTTTATACAAACGTCTGTAGACGAACTTCTTCCACGATTTTCAGTTGCAATTCTTGTTCAAAACCAGTCCAAATCTCCATTAAATGACTTCCAATTTTATATACAACCTCCTTATACTATTTCTAACAAGTCTAAATAACACCTACTTTAAATTTCTCACAAAATCAAATTCGAAATTTAAACCCACATATTTAAGCTTGTTAAAAATTTATTTTTTACTACCCAAATGAATTTGGTTTGTTAGAACTATTATTTGAGTCACAGTTACTGATTCGAAAATTAACTTAAAAACTTGAGCAATCTTTTTCAAATTAAATAGTAATTTCGAGAACCTATTGGAGTTGGATGTTGAATCTTAGCCTATTATTTTTGGGTTAGTTGGTTGTATATTGAAATATGGGCTATAAAATTGAAAAGTAGGGAGCTCAGTTGTTCTTATATGAAAATTTTCCTTTTTAATGCACCACATCAAACAATGGATAAGAAATAATCTCTGCTTAACTAATGTTTGCATTAGTGACTCATGCATCAATAATCCCTACATTACTGATACACCTTATTTAACACTATTCTTATACACCTTACCAAACGACGCCTGGTTCAAACAAGGGGATGTACCTCATTCTAATTTCTAGTTGCAGAATATCAATCAAAGTCTACAAGGTACTAAATGAGGACATAAATTTTGCAGAGATATGGTGTTATTAATGTTTTATTCCACATTGGAGGAAATGCTTGTGGTCCCATTATCTCATTACACTATATACAGAGTAGCACTTATTGGTGGTGTAAATGCAGCTGTCAGAAGTTCAAACATACAATTTTTATTTTTATTTTTAATTTCTCACCAATAAAATATCATGACTCTTTCCAAGACAGTCTTAAATATTTAACATTATTCTTTTAATCCAAGAGATATTTATGTAGGTGTTTGGATAGTAAAATATTACTCCCTCCGGTCCAAAATAAGTGATTTTTGGCCTTTTTTTTGTGGTAAAAAGTAAGTGATTTTTCCAGATTTTAAGAATGAATTAATTATTTTTTTCCTACATTGTCTTTGGAGTAAATAGTGTTGGAGTATGTGTTAGGAGTGTTTATGTGAGAAAGTAAAGGTTAATATGGTCAATTTCATTGCTAATTAATGCTAAAAGATGAATTTCTTAATCTGTGTGAAAACATCCAAAAAATCACTTATTTTGGACCGGAGGGAGTAGTATTTGAAGTTAAAAAAAAATTGACATGAACTTCAGGAAAAATACTTTTGTAAATGTTGAAAATTTGTAGGGGAAGCCACCAGGGGCGGATTTAGAGGGCGGAAGGGGGTTCACCAGAATCTCCTTCGCCGAAAAATTACACTGTATATATAAGGCAAAATCTATTTTTTACCTCCATATATTATGTTTTGAATTCCCTTGATATAGCCCAAAAGTGTAGCTTAGTGGTCAAGAGGGTTCAAAACCTTTGTAAGGTCATAGGTTTAATTCCCACGGGCTACAATTATTTTTAAAATTTATTCTTTCTGAACCCCCTTGGCGAAAATCCTGCCTCCGCCATCGGAAGCCAATATTTGACTTATAAATACCTTTAAAACTAACATTCAATATTTCATTTGACGATATTGTAATTCTATATTTGTGAATAATCATAGCCAAATTAAATACATAAGGTAATAGTGTGTGCATAAGATAGAATTTTGGTCCGGTCCTTTCATTAAAGTTTTGTATTTCTACTGAAATAGTACTCCCGTATTACTCAAAAGGGCATAAATTAAAATATGATAATAGTATTTAAATTGGAATTGAAGTTAGAGAGAAAAACGAATAAAACAAGCAACTACCTGTCTTGTGTTCACACTTTCTCTGCCTTCTCTCTCCTCTTTCTCTCTCATCACCCATGGCCAGTCTATGGCGAGCAGTAATGGGAAGCACGACTCAATCGAACGACGACTACGACGGAGTCGAGTTCTGGTCGAACCCAGAACGAACCGGCTGGCTCACTAAACAAGGCGAGTACATAAAAACATGGCGTCGCCGGTGGTTCGTGTTGAAACAAGGAAAGCTCTTTTGGTTCAAGGAAGGGAACATCACGCGCGGGTCGAAACCACGTGGGGTAATTCCAGTGGCTAATTGCCTCACAGTTAAAGGAGCCGAAGATGTTTTAAACAAACAGTTCGCTTTTGAGCTTTCTACTCGCTCTGATACTATGTATTTTATTGCTGATTCGGAGAAAGAGAAGGAGGATTGGATCAATTCGATCGGACGGTGCATAGTGCAGCACTCTAGGTCTGTTACTCATGATGAAATTCTGGACTATGATAGCCGGAAATAATTAATATTGCCACAACATAATTTTGGTACGCGTATCCTTTTTTTTTTTTGGAAATAACTATTTTATTTGTTTTGTCTCTGTGTGTAGTGTGAATGTATATAATTTTTCGCATTTGAAGCTGTAAGTACTTTGTTTAAGTCATTGTTAAATTGTGAATGCCGTATATTTGCTGAGTTGAAATGCATATGTACCTTTTTCAAATATAGTCAAACCTCTCTATAACACACTCATTCATTCCAAAAACTTTTTGGCTGTTATAGCCAAGTGCTTATAGAGAACATATATTATAACATAACATGAAAATTAGTTCCATAAAAGAGCTTGGCTTTTATTGTTAATGACTGTTATTTATCTTGATTAGTTAAGGCTTTGAATTCTTACTTGTTAGTAATGGTGATTAATTGACTAGAGCCTACTATTGACTATTATGGTTGAAGAAATGCAATTAAAAGAATATTTAAAGTAAATGGAGATGAGATCAGCTAACCTTCAATCCTCTCGGTTTAAAGTTCAGTCATAGAGGAATGTCTGAAATCATCAAGGAATGAGCTTTTTGGAATGATATTAGAGTGAAGTGAAAACAAACAAATTGGATTCTCTAATTTATTTTTTTTCGAATAGGAATTCTGGGACTTGCTACTGTACCATGAAGTTTCTATTTTGCTCTCAAGCTGTACTTGTTCTTGCATTCTTTGAGCTACTACCCAAGTTTTTTTTTCTTTTTCTGTTGATATTCCGTCGGCCTCCCAACATGTTCAACCATCATTTATAGCGTTTGAGACAGCCTTCTGTCTTAGGCTTTTATTTTGATAACCGAGAAATCTCCGAGAGATAGTGGTGCACGGTTTGAAATTCGGTGGATAATGGGTCCGACCCGCTGCTCTTCTCCACTTAAATACCAGTCTTATGTCTGGGGCAGGGTTTGAACCCGTGACATACGCCTAACTCACACATCATGTGTTGTGCTCTTGCCACTAGACCAAAGCCCTAGGGGGCGTCCCTCGCTAGTTACTCTTTCATTTTTCTCTTTTGTGGATTCCAGCTTATGTAAATGCATCTTTTGGTTCCTAATTCACGCAAGTCAAATTTTGGTAGTCTTGGTTGAGTACTTGAGTTACACCTTCATTTTTTTTCTGTTTCATGGATTTTAACTTGTATAAATGCATCCTCTTAATAATAAATCCTACCACATTTTGGCAGTCTTGGTTGAGTCAAAGTTACCTTAACATTTGCTACTTCAGCTCTGTGGTGATATATTTATTTGGATCATTTTATGGAGCTCGTTTAGATTGGTCATGCTTCAGTGGATCCATATTCTTTTGTCAGTGAGGGTTAACCTATTCTTACATTTCCGTGGCCTCATTCTCATGTTCCATAAGCATTTTCCTTTCCGCGGTCCTTTCCGTTGATAGTCAGACTGCTGCTTCTTTCTCCCCGTCCATAAAATCTCAGTTGTGCACTTGGGCAGGTTGGCTGGTTATGACTTCAGAAAACCAAAAGAAAGCTTGTCTTACATACAACCAAAGTTGCATTATATTGCTGAGATGATTTTTTAGCTTTCCCTCTAGTTATTATCATTAAAGCTCTGAAGTTCTTTGTAAAAGAAAAAGAAAAATCCTGAGTCTTATTAACAATAGTGTCTCATTATCCTACAAAACTTCACATGACATGGCCGTAAAAGTCTCTATTTACTTTCTCACTTGGAGTTAAAAAACTGGGGCTTTTTAGGATAAAGTATGCTATAGATGGGAGCCTTTTGAATATCTAGAGATTTTGGTGTTTTGCTAGATCTGAGCACTTGCCAAGTTAGGAACTTCAGGATGTTTAGTAGTTATAAGTGTTGCTTGGTAAAACTGAAGTTAATCAATGGAAACTAAGAGCTAATCTAATCCGATACCACTATACTGGTATAAGCCAATTGTGTTTCTTAATGTCAATGCTCCTGGAGTTCAGAAGAAACTTGTTCTCTCCTTCAGAAAAATAGAATTTCTTTTCCACCAACTTTCTGCTGATAATTTCGGCATTTTGATTTAGTTTCGTTAGAAAAAAGAAAGCAGTAGATCTCTACGTTAATGGTTTTCAAGAAGTTGTTTTCTAATGTCTCCTTTAGCTTATGTACATCAAATTCAGCATTTTCGTCAAGCAATATATATTTTATCTAATACCATATCCAACATTGGCATAGTTCTGCTGCCAGAGATGTACTGTCGATCTTAGAATCAACATACTCGTTGGCTGCACCTTTGCCGACATTTTATTATGTAAACATACAGGAAAATGAGCTTGCTTACCCAATAAAGAAATAGGAAGGAGTGGTCGGTTTATTGTAGCTTACATTTTAATGCTCATGCTCTCTGGGTAAGAAGCTGGTTTGCCTTCTGAATATTCTACATTTAACTTGCCTATACTTTGTAAGAGAACAAGTCTAGATCGGCCTTGAAACCCTTTTCTTTAAAGGATAAGTCTAGATCATATGCCATACATTCTAGAGAACACGACCAAATAATGAATCCTTATACAACAAGGAAATGCTTGACTGACACGTTTGGTTTGAGAAGTTTTTCAGAAGTCCTTCAAAACCCAAAAACTAAATTTGAAATTTTGTTTTGGTTTGTCCTTTTTCCTGGAAAACGAAACCGAGAACCAGTTTTTTAACCTAAAGTGAGCTCTAACCCAAACTGATTGATATTGGATAGTGAAATATGAGTGATTTAGGGTGAAGCTTTAACCAAGAAGTGTTTGGACGATGAGATATTTCTGTTGTGTGTTTGTATATATATATATATATATATATATATATATATATATATATATATATATATATATTTTTTTTTTTTTT